CAAATGTTGTCTCAATGCCTCTAAGTCAGCAGGCGGCAGACGGCGAGATCTCTCTCGAAAAGGTTTGTCCTCAGTGGTTTTGATAGTGTGATGTGCACTTTTACAGCAACCAAAATCAAACTCATGGGTAGAGAAAACCTCCTGTCGTTCCATCATTTTGCCCACCAATCTTCCCTTCCATTCTTGGGGGACTGGCGAATCTCCAAAGTTAAAGGAGGATGGGGTCAATTTTCCCGCTGACTCGGTGTTAGACTCTGGGCTTACAGAGGATGATGACACCACGTCTACTGGAAACAGGTGAGCAACCGGCATTCCTCTGGTCAATGTGATCTCCTTTTTCGATACATTCCTGACCAGCACAGTGATTTTCTTAGACATCACAACAGTGGGAGCCTGCAACTCTGGTCTGACCAAAAGCTCTCCCGGAAACCTTGAGTCATCAGCGGGTTCATCAGGTGGGTCCACCAGAATGGCTTGAGCACTTGGAATCCCTTGAAACTTTGGTACACGTGTCACTCGGGCTACCCCCCCCGGGCGCACAGTAACAGGTTTATTTTGTGTAAACCACACAGTTCCTCTCTTGTGGTCATCATCAAGTAGGCCTTCTGACAGCTGTTCAAAAGCCCTTTTGAAAGCAGGATGAATGTGCATGCTGCTGACAAAAATTTTACAGCTCTTAAGTAGTCATCTCACAGTCGGTGTGTTTGTGCCAACAAGTATAGAAGCTCCACCACTCACAACTGGGTCAGGACACACCAACACAAGGGCATCAATAGTCTCCGTCACTCCAACGTCAGCTTCCAAAAACTCCAGCTTAAGTGACAAATAGCCATCATAAGGGCAATCAGCAGGACTGAGGCCCCATATCTGCAAGGCACTGATAGGTGTCAATGGCAGGTGTGTCAAGTACCTGTTGTAGAAGGATCTGTACAGCAAAGTCACTTGAGAACCAGTATCGAGCACGGCTTTAGCATAAATGCCTTCAATCTGCACTGGTACAGCAGAGCTTGGTCCCACTAAGCCCTCAGGTATAGTGTCTTCCACTTTCTCGTCTGGTTTGATGCACTTGGTGGAACGTGTTTTAACCACAGGGAAGCCAGACCGTTCCTTTACTGGTTCCCGTGGTAGTTTCCCGATTTCTTTGTCAGTTTGATGAGGCGCTTGCTGACCCTCTTAAGATTTTCTTCACCATCACACTCTCTTTTGAAATGTCCATCCTCCCCACATCTATAGCAAAATATCCCAGGTCTATCTTCCTCATTGCCAGCTCTCTGCAGAGTGTCATTCCTCCTGGGTTTGGCCTTGGCAGGGACTTCAAGTTGTGGACCTTGGGTGTCTGGCTTGGAGGTTATTGTAGCAGCTTTAAGACTCATCATTTCTGCTTTCATGACAGTGATGTCTCTTTTCAGTTGTTCCACTTCAGGATCGACTTTAATTTCAGGAGTGGGCCTGGGAACAGGAGTAACAGTCTTTGACATCACTTGGCTTTTGACATCATTCCTACTTTGAAGCATGTCCTCTTCCTCTCTGACCTCTCTCAATAAGTCACTGAAGGAAGGTGGTTCACGCAGCTTATGTGTCATGCGAATGCGAAGGGCAATCATGTCTTGTGGCAATGCACCTCTCACAATCTGCTCGATGTGCACGGTCAGGTATAGTCTGCTTAGTAAGATCACTGGATGACTGAATCAACACAAACTGTGTTTTGGAAGCTACATCTAGACAGCGATCAATTATCTTAGCAGTTCCAAAAGCTTTAACAAGACTCAAAGCGTGAAGCAGAATATCATCTGTGACATTTGGATCAAAATTACTTATCACTACCACATTTTCCCGAGCTATTTGCTTCCTTTTACACCAGGCTTCAATCTCAGCAACATCCATTTTGTGTACTTGAAATAGGTAAAATAGGAAAACTGTACAGACCAGTCAAATATTCAGTATGAGACGGCAAAAACAGGTTTAAATCTGCACACAACCCCACAGGATATCACAAATTTGCAAAAAAAACATCCCGGACGAGCCCCCAAAAATGTAACCCTTTTCACCATCGGCTCGTGATGAGGCAAGTACACTATAAAGCAACATATAAAGTGTTGAGCCCCCTTAACCCTAATGTTTGGTAAAATGGTGAAAGAGACATCCCATTGTATAATAAACCTGTCTAGGAACGCTATGATTCTCACTCTCTCTACTACCAATGAGAGGCTGGAGGGATAATCCTGACTTTAACCTCTTATTACCACAGAAAATACTGATCTACTCAGATACAGAGCATGTGATGAGACAGACATCAAGGACGCAATAGCTCAGTTTCCTTCTTTGTATTATGCAAGAATCACATAACATTTTAACAACAAATAATGGAGTGAAAAATAAACAATCTCAAAAGACCCGGGGAATATAGGGATTAGTCTTTTATAACCTGAGTGCACTCTTTTTTTTAGGTTTGTTCTTTTAGCAGGCCTGCATTAGTTCGTTGGCGCGCTTAGTTGGAGCTCATAGAGTGAAGAAAGTAACAGTACCTCCTTGAGTGGAGTGGAAACCCGAGATCCTACCGGGGCGACGTTGTCCGCAGCAGCACAGCGAGGGTTACACAGCTTCGTTCGTCCGTCACCACCAGCAACACATCCCTCCGTGGAGGAAAACACCAGCGTTCCGATGTGGTCTCCTCTCGTCCAGCAGGCGAACGGTGTGTCTGCGGTCCCTCCCACGACGGTGTCACAGTCCCGCGAAGCCACGAGCTAACTTAGCCACAGAAACTAACAGGTCTAAGCTCACTTCCCAGTGCAAATACACACACCTCCAGCGGTAGCCCCACAGTCACAAACTCCTATGACGGCGAGAGCAGTGTCCGATACCATGAATAGTCCAACTTAAAACGTTAAGTGCCGTAAAAGCACTGTTAGCTGCCGACTAGCTTTCGTGCCCGTGCAACTCTTCCCTCAGTTCCCCCTGATCTCCCTTCTCGCGTGATTACCCGTAGTTCAACAGGATACTTTATTAGTCACTAAATCTCTAACATTAACAAAATGATTAGTGAGCTTATCTTATGTAGTAAACCATGCTTAAAACATTTTAAGGAAAACACAACTTAACTGTTAAATTACCTGGACACATCTGAACAGAGCGAGGATAATTAAATGATAAATCCTATTGCATCTTCAACCAATAGACATTTGCCACTTCAGTAACTCTTACATCTTAACTTGGATTACATATGAATTAAGCACTTTAGCAAGCCCAAAAAAATACAGTAACCCACATATTCCAGAAAAAATACAATATAAGTGACATATTTTTCAGGTCATTACAGTAGAAAGCTAAGAGTGTTTTTTAACTATGTTTAATAAGTTGGTGAGGGTGGGGACCAGGCTTTAACTGGCCCAGCCTGGCCGTACATCTGACCCAACAAATTCTCGTCTCCCACAGTCTGCATTTGAAAGTATCCTTGGGCAAGAGAGTGAACCCCAAATTGAATGTGTTTGAATGTGTTAATTTCTGTTTCTGATGGCAGAAGGCACATTAGCCTCTGGTGAATGTATAGAAATAAGGGAGAGAGGGGTGAGTTGAGTCAGTTTTTACTTGCCACCCGACGTATGGACTTACTACACAAGGAGTTGAATCTCTGTCTGTCTTTCATTTATAGAAGCATGGCATACTGGTTTCTGGTCTACAAATTCATGTCACATTATTTCAGTGATAAAATGTAAGAATGCAATATAGAAGAATCACAGTAAAATAGCTGGCCGAACTTCCCCCAGGTAATTTTTTGCTCAAATTACCCAATCTCTGCCATTTTAACAAACTTGTGTCATCCAGCAGTTTAGAGGTTGTGCTGAAAGTATAGCCTTATACGGTAACTTCCTAAAGCACTAGCACTAACACTTTTTCAGACTTTTTCAGATTTTTTCAGACTTATCTGTAATTGTTTAGACACAAGAGTCATGACTTCTTGAACATATAAATAGGCCTCTCTTCATCACAGAGGGAATAAAATGGATGACTCTTCAAAAAGATGAACATGAACATATGAACGCATTATGTCTATGAAGCTGAGAAACAAAGGGTGGTTCAACATCTCTACAGTCAAATCACCCTGCTCTCCCCTACACACCATTTACCATTTTAATCACTGTGATAGATATATGTTACCGGAGATATGTAAAGGAGAAGACAAATAAGAGTCTTTCTTTAACTTCCTTTATGTTGTCCTCAATCTCAACCAAGCGGCAACCTCCGGCTCTACCAAGTGAAGCCAGTGCCGTAGTAACTTAAACCTGCATTCTTTCTAACGTCCAGCAGGGGTATCTCCTGTGGTTTCAAAAAGAAGTCTGATTCCTTTTTTAAAAAAAAGGTAAAATAACGTTACTTTACACCTGATTTATTACCACAGTAAACACTTTCCTAATGAGTTTATGGTCTCAGTCGCTAATTTCAAGTCTTCTTCAACACAGCATGATGTTCATTTAGTAAATTATTGTCCCATTTGGAGGAAAATAGACCACAAAGCAGCATACGCTTTAAGGTGGGACTAACACGTGATTGACAAGTTGCTACCATGGCGACTTGTCAATCAGGTTAGAGACAACTCATATTTGCTGCTCTGTTTACATTTAACCAGCTCCGTTGAAAATGGTTATTAAGAGTCTGTTGTTCTTTTTTTTTTAAGCCGTTTTTTCACTAGCCAAAATTAGCACCCTGTTAAAATCACAGTTAACGCGAATTACAGATGCACCTAGGTAACCAAGCTTGGTAGCGCCACCGTCCTGTCCAATATTGTCATGTCTGGTGCCAGGTTGCAAAAAATCAACATGGTGGCGGGCAAACTGCTAAACTCGAGGCCTCAAATAGGCTGTCCACAAACCAATGTGTACACATAAGTGGCAATAAAGCTGAGGAAATGCACACAAAAACAAGGTAAACATGTAAACAAGTATATACTGAGTAAATGGTCAAGAAAAGAAAAAAGAAAGAGTAAAGAAAAATATGCGCCTCACCCTCTGTCATCCTCCACTTGCACCCCTACAGAGGTGAACTTGGATGGGTCTTCTGGATCCGGAACCTCCTCAGGTCCATCCACCTACAGGAGACAGGATAAACCCTTATAATCATTAATCACTAATAATAAAATTAAATCATGGCCTTTCATAAAATTCTCATCTTCTTTTTGTTGAAAGCAAGCACCAATTACAACTAAATAATGACAGTGGTTTCATCATTAGAAGGACAGCAGTGATTAATTTATGTGAACACCAGATCTTACTCTATGTGAAATCAAGGCTTTGAAAAATCAAAGTATTCTTGATTTGGGGAGGTAATAGTGACTGGTGGGTAGAAATGACTATACAGAAACACAAATGTACAGGGTTTAGATAATGTGTAAGTAACTGAAAACCATTATTTCCATTGGCCTCCTGCTCTGTGTCTCTCCACCTCCACTGCAGTCTCATAAATACCTGGATGCCTATGGAGAGACATTTGCCCTTCCTGAAAGCTTCTTTCCTGTATCCATCTCGGTGGTCTTCAATAACTGGCCCCCTGCTGAGGACTGAGGGGGTGGGTATGCTGACTGTCATGGTGCTGTTACTGACATGCTGACTGGCTGGTCCATGGACCTACATGGGAATAATGAGAACAAACATTAAATACACTGTGAATATATGAATAAATACTTGCTTTGGGTGGATATTACAAAGTTACAACCTGTTTATTACATAAAGCAAATGTGGATTTGCATTTGCAAAATACTTTACAATTACAAAAACAATGCAAGCACTAACCTGTGCATTAGCAGCTTCTATGGCAGCTGTCAAGGCCTTCATACTGTCAATGCTTTCTGTTGAGTTACTGAGCCCTGATTGGATGGTCATGTCACCTCTGGGTCCCTCTTCTTCCATATATGCATCCTGTATGTTTTAGAAAATATGGAACATTGCTTTCAAGATAAAGTGACAAATTTGACCATTTAATATTAGACAATATTATTAAGGACATTTTAAAACAAAGGATAACCCTGCGTTATGCTTGATGCAGCCCCTCTTGCCCAGCAGGAGCTGATAATAGTGTTCTTGTGTTGAGATGCATCATAGTTGGGGTATAAAACACACAGAGAAAACATAAGAAGCAGAGGGAACTTTAACAACAGCAATTGTTTTTATTTGTCTGTTCATAAATGTATATTTGTTGGCCAAGACCTCTTGTGTTCGACTCTGTTAGCATCTAATTTGCTGTCATCCTCATTGCATTTGCCACCCCAGCTATGAAACAATGAGGACTGTATGGTCACTGTGTGAATAAACTAAGTAAAACACATGAAGTTGCATATGCTGATCCCTATGGAACACTGTCGTTCACACATTATTTACAATTCAAATTACAGAGACCAGGCTATTTACGATATACAGCGGGTACCGTAGGTCAGTCAGTCAGTTGTTAGTCAGGTGGCAGTGTCTGCCTTAACTCTGCCAAGACCAGCAAATCCTGGCGAATCTGACTGGGAAATTCACAAATTCACCAGATTATGCCTCCAGACTCCAGAGACACAAGTTTACTACAAGTTGGCATCAATAACACAGACTTTTCAAAGTGATCGGATGCTAAGGGAGTCAGAGGACCTGTCAGGCTGAAAATCCTGATTTCCCTCCAGATTCTTCTGCCAATCCACCACAGGAAGCAGAGCATGCAGTGTCCCAGAAGCCAATGATTTTTGAGCATTAGGGTTGCAAACCAAACACCATTTTATAGTTTTCTGGCCCAACTTGCTGCTCCACTCGATATGGTCCTTGCCACTTAGGGGCTAATTTTTCAGCTTCTCTGCTTTGGAGAGAGGATGGGTTCATATCCACACTCTGTCTTGTTCTCCAAACTCCATGTCTTATCTGTGTTTATCATAGTTCCTTTTCTACCGACATCATGCAGAGTCCAGGATTTATAGGAATAAAGGAACATAGATCCTCTTGTGCGATCTTGGTGTAGGCAGGGTATCAGGAGCATGCTCTCTAGGTTGTTGCACCATATCTAGGGGCCGTCTTGGCAAACAACGGAGATTCAGCTCTGCAGGGGACACTCCATTGGACTCTTGGACTGCCATGTTAATAGCAAACCTTAACTCTGGGAGGTATTTATCCCAATGGTTTTGCTGATTTCCAACATCGGATGCAATCATGTTTTTTGGGTGTGGTTTACTCTCTCTGTTAGGTTGGTCTGGTGATGACAGGCAGATGTTAATTTGTGTCCCACATTCCAGGTAAGGCACACCATTTGGAAGACTGAGACAAACTGTGACCCATGATCGGAGAGAATGAAATCAGGATGAACCATCATTCACCAGAACTTGAAATATGGTTTCTGTTCCCCTTTTTTAAGGGGAACAGTTCCACCCACCTGGAGTAATAGCCCAAGAAAACCAAAAGGTTGACATTTTGTTTGGACAAGAGTTTTCTGGAGTTTACCCACCAGTTTTGTGTTTTCTGGTTTATAAAAATGGAGCATTGAAGTTTGGGTGACTTAGGACAGGTGGGTTTACCAGATGTTCTTTAAGGGCATCTAAAGCAGCTTGGCATGCTGGCGACCAGAGGAACCTTGTTATTTTTTTCTTTAAGGCATTGAGTGGCTCAGCAATCTACGAAAAGTGGGGAGCAAACCAATGATACCACCCTGCCATGCCCAGAAATCACTGTATGGGTTTCAGGTTTGTGGGGGATTGTGAAATTGCCTCAGTCTTGTCTGATCCACATTAACTCCAGTGGCAGATACAATATTTCACAAAATTTCAGAGAAGGCAGATGAAAGCTGTGATTTATTGCACTTCAGGGTCCATCTCCACCTGCCAGTACCTGGTATTTAAGATCTTGGTTTGCTAACCTTAAGTGGAGCAACCCAAGCAGAGCAAGACGGTTCAATAATATCAACATGTTGTCAACGAGTTCCTTCCTTACCTTCAAGGGAGACACGATAGGGTTTCTGGCAGATGGGAAGTGGATTGGTGAGGCAGATCTGATACTTCAGTAGCTCAGTGCATCTTACTTGTGTTGTACAACCACCACAGGAAGCAGAACATGCAGTGTCCCGGAAGCCAAGGAAGTCCTCCTCATCAGAGTCCCTCATCCAAGATGAATTTAGTGTTGCTGAGTAGAAGGGTCTTTCACTGAGGTTTCCTGCGTTGCTCCAGAATAGACTCCTGAATTGCCTTTTGGACTAAGTCTGAATCCTCCAAAGTGGTCAATGTAGGGAACAGTGCAGTGGCCAAAGGAGCATCTACTGAAAAGAAAGCCACATAGTTGCTAAACTCCCCCTCCCCAAGCAGAGAGGACTCTGCACTGAAGAAAAATCTTTTGTCTTCATTTCCCCAAAACCAGTAGACTTCTGCAACATCGATATACATGCCTGTGAAGAAAACAAAGTCCAATAACAGCAGAGCAGGAAATGCAAGGGTTTTGCCATTCACCACCTCAACAGCCACCAGCCAGGTTTTATCCTGTAGGCTCAGTTCCATCTCTACCCAATCAAGGGGTTTCCTGGGTTCCCCATTGGATCCCCATTCCATGCAGTAAGTTTGTCCTCTGAAACTTTGACACAAATCCATACATGTTCACTGACCAGAGTATATGTGGAACTTGTATCCCCTACTGCCTTGCCTCCCAGTTCCTTGCAGTTAATGGCACTTTCAAATGCTGTGGTAGGGCAGTGCCACAGCTCCCCCAAGGGTTGCTAAACTTACATAGACCCTGCACAAAGAAATGTGAGGTAATGTAAATGTGAAACGGGAAATGGAATGAAAACACCAAACAGCTGTTTGTTATTTTAAAGATATCAATTATAAAGACAAAGAATATGGGTGAAGGAATGGATCAGCACATGCTGGATATGGATGTCGTGTCGGCTGACTCCTCCAGATATTTGGCATCCTAGATATCTGACTGGCGTCTGCGATGTGTCAGTGATGCGTAAGTGAGCCATTTTGATGCTTCGTTGACCGCCGATTGATTGCTGATTTACCCCCGATCACAGCCTGACAGTCGCCGTCTGATCTGCTGACCAACAAATTGGGCTTAAAATCGTTTTGTGTGAACTAGGCTTTAAGTATCATAGACCTTCTCTAACTGTCTCCTCACTGTCTTGTGGTCACCAGCTCCTTTTTCACCAGAGGTACATAATGGGTGTATGTGTCCTAGGTTGTGGTCTGACCTACCCAGGGGTAGGGGGAAGAGCTGTATGCATCCTTAACGTTAGCATACAGCAAGTCCAGGGTCCTCTCCTCTCTAGTATGACAACTCACATACTGGGTTGGGAAGTGTAGCTACCATAGTGATGGGTTCAATTCACCAGAAATTACTATGAAGGTACTCAGGTGTTGAGTCTGGGGTCGAGCTATGGGGTGTGAAGAATGTTACACAAAAAAACAGAAAAATCTGATATTTTCATCCTTGTCTAGTAAAAAAAGCTATATTTTAATGATAAACCATCAAAACCATCATAAGATATTTAATATATAGATATATTATAATGCAACTGAATATCTTCTAATACAACTAGAATGCAATTGTAACTGTAAATCTGATGAAATAAACTAAATACAACGTTATCATACAACATGTTAATATAAATAAAATATACTGGGCGAATGTCCATATTTTGGCAATATTTACTGTTAAAATGTTGACTTTTATTGGTAGATATCTTTAAAACACTTCGTCCATACAACCAAGTTCCAAATGACAAAACATTGAAATATTGATAAAAACAGTGAGTATTCATCAACATTCCTGTCACCAAAAGCACTCCCATGCTTTACAGGCCTGTAGATTGAAATGGAACATCCCACAGTGAGGGGGGGGGCATCAAGTGTACGTCATGTATCTCAACGGGTCGGCCACAAAATGGCGAAAACACCGTGTGTTCTCAAGCGGCACGTTTCCTCTCTGCAGAAATGTCGAGAGCAGGCAGGCAGCTCGCAGGTATTGTGCAATAATCAAGATGGCGCCCGCTTACACTCAGAGCAACAACATCAGCGGGTTTCGAGTTAAAATGGCGGAAACATTTTAACTCCACTTGCCTTCAACTCCTATTCAGTCAGTAGATATAAATCCCAAAACATTGAGCAGTCATCAAGCCCAGGGATGCACTAACCTCTCATTCGTCATGATGTGCAAATGACTGCAGCAATCTCCTGAGCCAGAATAACAGCAGTCCCCAGTCCCAGTTTCCTGTGCTTCAGCAGACTCTTATCCACCGCTCTCCTGCATGTTGCCTATCCAAATCCCTTTCTCTCTGTTGCCATGCTGACAATTTGTGACATTTAAGGAGGAATATGATTTACTGGACACATCATACTATTTTTTCCAGTGAGACTTATGGGGTGCCCTGGAACAGGCCCTTGCCAGAGAATCCTATAGGAGGTGGATTGCTAGGCGTGGGGCTCTCGGGGACAGTAACACATACAGTATATAACTCTCTACTTGATTGTTGCTCAAGATACTGACTGTATGGTGAGGCTGAGGGTATGGTGCAGGAACTCAGTAGCAACAGTCTGGAACCAGATGGGAAAACGATTTGGTTTAACTTAAGCAGTACCTCTAAAGATCAATTCATATGCTCAAGATGATTCACAGGTCATATGCTACTAGGGGTGGACGATACAGGTACCTCACGATTCAATTCTGTGGCGATATGGTCCACGATATGATAATATCACGATTCGCGATATCTACGATATTCAATATATTGGAAGAAATTTCATCAACGATATATCACGATATATGTGACTGAAAAGAAAAAGAAGTAATAAGGAAATAAGGAAATTTTATTCATTTATTAATGCCAACATTTCCAACATTGTGCAAAGAAATATGCATTTGCATAATAACTCACTGCCTCCTGGTCTTAAATGTAAACACTGTACATCTAGACAGATAAAAGTGCATGAACATTACAAAACAACATGAACATTAACATGTGTAAACCATAATACTGAAACTGAAACGTCAGTAGTAAGTTACTGTAAACAGTGGACACATCAAGGCATATTCTTCTTGAGGAACACTAACTGATCAGCATGCTCAGATGTAAGAGCACACCTCTGAGCAGAGATTATGTCACCGGTGGGTAGAAAAGATTCTCTCTGATGGCACGCTAGTCCCTGGCACACACAGTACCTCTGGGCCAGCTTGGCAAGGTGTGGGTACTTGCATGCCTCAGATTTCCACCAACCCAACGGCTCATCTGACAGTGGTGAGGGTGAGATTCTTGATATTGCTGAACCTCCTTTTCAGCCTTGGAGTTAGGTGATGATGGGTCAGGGAAGATCTGGCATGCTGGAATGTTTGTCCAAGGAGGTTTGCAAGTGCGGATCTCCTTTTTTGGTGTGTGTGGTGGTCGGTCCTCATCACTGGTGTCATCAGCAGGGACCACTCTCTTCAGTGCTTCCTCCCTCCTCTACATTACCATAGACTGCATTCCCATGCATCTGCATTCCCCTGTAAGACAAAAAAGCATTTGGCACATCTTCATGTTTTATTTTGTATTAATGAAATAATGTTCATCACAACAAGAAATCATCATCAGCCCTAATCATTTTAAAATTTAACACATCTTTGCACATGGTTAGAGTGTGTGGATGACATTTTTCTACCAGCTGTGCAAGAGTGAAAGTTTAAAAGGTACAAATACAATGAGAATTTCAATGACCTAAGTAACTGCTGTTCAGTTTTTACAGTTGTAATTACCATCAGGCAGCAGCCTTGGACACAACCATGGCATACGTCTCCTGCACTTCTGAAGGCAACCAGAAGAGCATCGACTTAAACCTGGGGTCTAAGGCGGAGGCAACGTAGAGGAAGTTTTCTCCTCTGCGAGACATGTAGCGCTTTGATAGGTCTCCATGGATGGCACACTTTATGTCCTTGACGAGAGGGGCATCCTCAATTGTGCTGATTGTGTCGCTCAGAAGTTGGACATGAAGAGGAACATGATGGAAACATTGGACTTTCTCATCACACATGCTCTTTGTTGCTACCAGCATGGATGGGGGCTTTCAACCTCTTCTGTTTCTTGATGTCTCCATCAGTCAGGTAGAGATGTCAGTGGTATTCTTTCTGACCTTTAAGAGGAAGGAAAGAACAGAATGAAGTCAAAAGTTTAAATTATAATGCACATATTCTATTAATCCAGACCAGAAGTCAGGAAAAGCACTTTACACTAAGGAAACAAAATATATATCATGTTAACAATAATATTTTATAACAGATTACAGTTATCATATGCAATTCAGTAACCAAAACAATAAACGCCTTACCTCTGGAGATAAGAGGGCAGCAGTAACAGCTGGCTGTTGCTCAAGAAACCGCTGATCATCTCATAGGCACTGTTCCAGCGGACAACAACATCAGTTATCAGCTTGTGGTGCGGAAGGCCTAACATCTTCTGGTTCCTCTTCAGTGCCTCAGCTGCGAGACTGTGCTCCTGTGGAAGAATGTGCAAATCTCCTAATTCTCCCGAGCAGTCGAGCGACATTTGGCAGTTTGAGGGCACGCTGCACCGCGAGATTCAAAACATGAGCGAAACAGCGAACGTGCGGATATCCAGCAATCTAACAGCTACGGACATATTCGCTGCGTTGTCAGCACCACTGCTGGCTCTTTCTCGGTGAGCTTCCACTCGTCTACAGCCTTCTTAAGCACCTCTGCCATGTGAGCGCCATTATGACTGTCATTCATAGCCCGAGTCTGAAGGACGTAGCTTTGGCATCCCAGTTGTCGTCTATGAAGTGGGCAGTATAGTTACGAAGGACTCGGTGGCCCTTGACGTCCAACCACCACAGGTTAGTGCAACTCGTTTAGCAAGACCGGAGGCACCCTCCACTTTGGCTCTGGTATCTGCATACAATGCAGGGATGACTTTGTCTGTAAAGTGCCGATGACTCGGTA